CCCAACCAGAGTGAGCATCAACCAACCAATAGTCAATGAAACCAAGACCAAACCAAAGGTCAACCCAAGCCAAGACCAACCCAACCGAAGTCAACGTCAACCAACCAGTGGTCATGAGCTCAAGATCAACCCAAGGGTCAACCCAAGACCAACCCAACGTCAGCATCAACCAACCAATGGTCAATGAGGCCAAGAACAACCCAAGGGTCAAACCAACTGATGGTCAATGAAGAGCAACCCAAGGGTCAAACCAACTGATGGTCAATGAAGAGTAACCCAAGGGTCAAACCAACTGATGGTCAATGAAGACCAACCCAAGGGTCAAACTAACCGATGGTCAATGAAGAGCAACCCAAGGGTCAACCCAAGACCAACCCAACGTCAGCATCAACCAACCAATGGTCAACGAGGTCAAGATCAACCCAAGGGTCAACCCAAGCCAAGACCGACCCAACCAGAGTGAGCATCAACCCGCCAATGGTCAATGAAACCAAGACCAACCCAAGGGTCAACCCAAGCCAAGACCAACCCAAACTCAACATCCACAACCGACGGTCAACGAGGTCAAGACCAACCCAAGGGTCAAGCCAAGGTCAACCCAGGGTCAAGAACCACCCAAAGGTCAACCCAAGGTCAAGAATCACCCAACGGTCAAACCAACTCAACCCAAGGTCAATGAAGACCAATCTGAGGTCAACTGAGGTCAAGAGTCACCCAAAAGTCAGGCCAAGGTCAAGAACCACCCAAAGGTCAACCCAAGGTCAACCCAAGGTCAAGAGTCACCCAAAGGTCAACCCAAAGTCAACCCAAGGTCAACCGAGGTCAAGAATCACCCAAAGGTCAACCAAAGGCCAAGAATCATCCAAAAGTCAACTCAACGCCAACCCAAGGTCAAGAGTCACCCAAAGGTCAACCCAAGGTCAAGAGTCACCCAAAGGTCAACCCAAGGTCAACCAAGGTCGAGGCCAGCCCAAAGGTCAATGCAAGGTCAATGAAGACCAACCTAAGGTCAATCGAGGTCAAGGATCACCCAAAGGTCAACCCAAGGTCAACCCAAGGTCCACCAAGGTCGAGGCCAACCCAAAGGTCAACCCAAGGTCAACCAAGGTCAATGAAGACCAACCCAAGGTCAATAAAGGTCAAGGATCACCCAAAGGTCAACCCAAGATCAGGGGTCACCCAAAGGTCAACCCAAGGTCCACCAAGGTCAAGACTCACCCAAAGCCCACCCCAAGCCCACCCCTCCCCCTCCCCAACATCCTTTCTCCCCTCCCAAAAGCTCCGCCCCCACCACCTGGACACGCCCCCCCTTTCCCCCTTCCCTTCCCCTCCCCCCTCCCCCAAAATTCGGCAACGCTACAAAAACCCCCCCCTTGGGGAAGGGGTGAAGGGGGGGGAGGGGCGTGGTCAGATGGCGGAGGGGGTGTGGCCCTGGGTGGGGGGAGGGGCCGGGCGATGGAACGGGGTCTCCTTGTAGATGAACCAGGACCCGCCGGCCCAGAGCACCAGGTTGAGGAACCCGAAACCCTGAGGGGGAGGAGGGGGAGGGGTTAAAGCCACGCCCACCCGTCGTAGGACACGCCCACCCGGCTCTGGCCACGCCCACTTCTCGTTTCAGGGCTCCCTCCCCCCACCGGTTTGTTGCTCCCCAGTCCCTCCCAGTCCATCCCAGTTCCCTCCCAATCCCCCCCCAGTGCCCCCCAATCCCCTCCCAGTCCCTCCCAGTGCCCCCCAATACCCTCCCAGTGCCCCCCAGTCCCCTCCCAGTGCCCCCCAGTC